AAAAAAAAAAAAAAAAAGTAATTTTTTAAAAGCTACTCTTAAACTAGTAATAAGAACAAATATGCACAAAACATCAACATAGAAAATTACAAAATGTTTGTGAAGGACACAAAAGATAATCTTATAGAAGGAAAATGTTACCTTCATGATGCAAAAAGGAAATTTGTCCCAAATCACCTGTAAATATAAGGCAATTCAAAATACCAAAATGTCTCAGTGTGGTGGCACACACCTGTAGTCCTAGCTACTTGGAAGGCTGAGGTGGGAGGAGCTCTTGAGTCCAGGGTTTTGAGGCTGTAGTGAGCTGTGCACCACTGCACTCCAGCCTGGGTGACAGAGTGAGACCCTGTTTCTAAAAACAAACAAAAAAATAGCCAAAATGATTTTTTAAATGAAACTTCACATGTTGTTAGTAGAATTCACATGGAAGAGCAAAATGTCAATAATGGCCAAGGCAATCTTGAGGAATCATAAATTTGCAGTCTCTCCTTGACAAATCTTTTTATTATTAAAAAACTAATTAACACAATATGATATTACCAATAAAAAAACAGTTTAATGGGGGTCAGGCCCGGACCTGCGCCACCTCAAGATGTAAAGTGTAACATGGGGGTTGGGGTGGGCAGTGTGGGCCTGTGAGGCCTGTGGTGCCTGTGGGTGTCCTCATCCCCCCAGCTCCCCGCACAGCTGGTTCCACAGTGGTCTACTCCAGTTGCCTCGTGTGGATTCAGGTTCCAGACTGAAGGCTACCTGTTCCCCAGTGCCCTCCACCGCCCCCGCCCCTGTCCACAGCTCCCCCCACAGCCAGTTTCGCAGTGGTCTGCTCCAGTTCCAGACTGAATGCTACTGATTCCAAGTGCTGGGGTTACTGGGGCGACCACCAGAACAGCCTTGGCGCTATGTAGTAGCTGGGAGCTACTCCTGAGCCCTACCTGAGGCTGGTCATGGAGAAGCTACATAGGATTGTGGCAGCACTGCTGGAAAGTATGGTATCAAATTCTAATGGTTTTCCGTGGGAATTAGTGATGTGGGCAGGTGTTATTGGATTTGTTGTTATTCCCCTTTTTCTGTGGAGATGTTTTAGATCAGTCAGGAGTCGGCTATATGTGGGAAGAGAGAAAAAGCTTGCTGTAGAGCTTTGTGAGCAAATTAAAGAAAAATGTAACCTACTTGAAAAATTTAGTTTTCTACAAAAAAGCTATGAAGGCTATGAAAGAGAGTCATCTTTACAGGATGTCAGCTTTGAGAACCAGGCAGCAGAAGCAGAAAGTTTGGGGGCAACATGTGAAAAGCTGAACAGGTCCATTTCTGAAATGGAGGATGAAATACCATATCTGAAAAAAGAGTTAAAAGAAGAGAAATACCAACATTGTAGACAACATCAGTTTATGGCGGATATTTCAGAAATCAGACAGTCTCTAGAAGACCTGTCAAAATCCCTTAAATCACAGCTAGCTGAAGCCAAAATGCCCTTGAACATATTTCAAATGAATGGTGAACAACTGAAGATCGCGATAAAAGATGTTTTGAATGAAAATTCTCAACTTCAGGAAAGCCAGGAACATCTTTTGCAGGAAGCTGAAGTATGGAAAGAACAAGTGAGTGAACTTAATAAGCAGAAAATAATATTTGAAGACTCCAAAGTTAACACAGAACAAGTTCTAAATGACAAAGACGATCACATCAAGATGCTGACTAAACACTTCCTGAAGATGAAAGATTGGGCTGCTGTGCTTGGAGAAGACATGATGGACGATCATAACTCGAAAGTAGAAATGAAGAGTGAATCAGAACATGGCGCTTCCTTAGCTGATTCTCCAAAAGGAGCTTTGAAGAAACTGATTCATGCTGCTAAGTTAAATGCATCTTTAAAATGTTTAGAAGGAGAAAGAAGCCAAATTTATATTCAGTTGTCCGCAACTGATAAAACAGAGAAGCAGCTTATGGGGCATATTAAACAGCTTCAGTCTGAACAAGCATCTTTGCAGTCAGAAAACACAGATTTTGAAAGTGAGAATCAGAAGCTTCAACAGAAACTTGAAGTAATGACTGAATTACATGAAGAAACGACAATGAGACTTTACAAAACATTCACTGTAGAAGAAAATGACCAGTTAGAGAGACAAGGGAAACTTTCTAAACAAGAGGAAAAGATCAACTATACCACTGACCAGCTGGAGAAGTATAAAAAGCAAGCCAAACATCTTGAAGAAGAGTTGGAAAGAATGATCCTTTCTTATCAAGAGCAGATTTTACTCCTTAAGAAAAAAGCACATGACAATTGGTTGGCAGCTCGGACTGCTGAAATAAACCTCAAAGGATTAAGGAAGGAAAATGCTAAGTACAGACAAAAATTAGCTGACACAGAGATGAAATTCAAATTTTTACACAAAGATCCTTCTGCAGTTGATGTTCCAAACACAGGATTTGGCAGAGAGCATTACACATATGTTACCGATATGAGAAGGGGAACTCCTTTCCCCCCACCTCCTCCAGGAACCCTGTTTGGAGTTTCTCCACATGATTTTCCACCAAGAAATTTCCAGGTCCACCATATGCTCCATTCGCAGTGAGGAATGCCTATCCACCCAGGGGTTTTCATCCAAATCTTCCACCAAGACCTGGATTTTTTCCCCCAACCCCCAAATATTGAAGTTAAAAGCGAGTTCCTTGCAGGGTTGATTCCATCTCCTAATGACTCTGCTACTGAACAAAAATAATTCTGATTGACCTCGAGTTCCCTTCAAGACACTTCTGCCTTCCAAAAAACCTGCTATTGAACATCCAAAACAACAGCAAGACAGCTGGCAGTTCCTGTGTTCTCCTCCAAAGTAGTTGTTACTGACCTTGAGTCTCCATCAAGATTGATTCCAACTTAGAGTGAGCCTGCCACTGAACATCTGACATCACAACAACAAAGCTGGCGGTCTTTGTGTTCTCCTCCCAAGTACTTGTGACTGCTCTTGAGTCCCCATCAGGGTTGACTCTGCCTTCAAGTGAGCCTGCCACTGATCATCCGGCACCACAACAAGAAAGCTTGTGGTCTTTGTGTTCTCTCCCAAGTAGTTGTGACTGATCACGAGTCCCTGTCAGGGTTGATATCACCTTCAAGTGAGCCTGCTAGTGAACCTCTGGAACCACAGCAGGAAAGTTGGCAATCCTTATGTTCTCCTCCCAAGTACTTTGGAAGGATGTTGAGTCCCCATCATGATTAACCTTTGCCTTCAAGTGAGTCTGCTACTGAATGAACATCCAACAGCACAACAAGAAAGCTGGCAGTCTTGTTATTTTCCTCCCAACTATTTGTGACTGATCTCAAGTCCCCGTCAGGGTTGACTCTGCCGGCAAGTGAATCTGCCACTGAACATCCAGCACCACAGCAATAAAGGTGGTGTTCTTTGTGTTCTCCACCCAAGTAGTTGTGACTGATTTTGAGTCCCTGTCCGGGTTGACTCTGCCTTCAAGTGAGCCTGCCACCGAATATCCGGCACCACAGCAGGAAAGCTTGCAGTCTTTGTTTTACTCTCCCAAGCAGTTGTGACTGATTTCAAGTGCATGTCAGGGTTGATTTCACCTTCAAGTGAGCCTGCTCCTGAACATCTGGCACCACAGGAAGAAAGCTTGTGGTCTTTGTGTTCTCCTTCCAAGTACTTTGCACAGATCTCAAGTCACCACCATGGTTCACTTTGCCTTCAATTGTGCATGCCATTGAATTAATGTCCGACACCACAAAAGGAAAGCTGGCAGTCTGTATATTCTCCTCCCAAATATTTGTGACTAATCTCAAGTCCACATCAGGGATGACTCCGCCTTCAAGTGATCCTGCCACTTAACATCCTATACCCCAGCAAGAAAGGTGGCAGCCTCTGTGTTCTTCCAAGTAGTTGTGCCTGATGTTGAATCCCCATCAGGGTTGACTCCACCTTCAAGTGAGCCTGCCATTGAACATCCGGCACCACAGCAAGAAAGCTGGCGGTCTTTTGTGTTCTCCTCTGAAGCAGCTGTGACTGATCTTGAGTCCCCCTCAGGGTTGACTCCACCTTCAAGTGATCCGGCCACTGAACACCTGGCACCACAGCAAGAAAGCTTGTGGTCTTTGTGTTCTCCTCTGAAGTAGTTGTGACTGATCTCGAGTCCCTGTTATGGTTGATTCTGCCTTCACGTGAGCCTGCCACTGAATATCTGGCACCACCACAAGAATGCTGGTGGACTTTGTGTTCTCCCAAGTACTTGTTACTGATCTTGAGTTCCCGTCAGGGTTGACTCAGCCTGCAAGTGAGCCTGCTACTGAACATCTGGCACGACAGCAAGAAAGCTGGCTGACTGTGTTCTCCTCCTAAGTACTTTCCACAGATCTCGAGTACCTGTCATGGTTCACTTTGCCTTCAAGTGAGCCTCCCACCCAATGAACGTCCAACAGCGCAGCAAGAAAGCTGGTCGTCTTTATATTCTCCTCCCTAGTATTTGTGACTGACCTCAAGTCCCCATCAGGATTGACTCTGCCTTCAGGTGAGCCTGCCACAGAACATCTGGCACCACAGGAAGAAAATTGGCATCTTTGCATTCCCCTCCAAGTAGTTGTGACTGATCTGGAGTCCCCATCATGGATGATTCCACCTTCGAGTGAGCCTGCCACTGAACACCCGGCACCACAGCAAGAAAGCTGGCGGTCTTTGTGTTCTCCTCCCAAGTAGTTGTGACTGATCTTGAGTTCCTATCATGGTCAATTCCACCTTCACGTGAGCCTGCCACTGAACATCCGACACCACAGCAATACAGTTGGCCGTCTTTGTGTTCTCCTCCCACTTAGTTTTGACTGATCTCGAGTCCCCGTCAGGGTTGACTCCGCCTACAAATGAGCCTGCCACTGAACATCTGGCACCACAGCAAGAAAGCTGTGGTCTTTGTGTTCTTGTCCCAAGTACTTTGCACAGATCTTGAGTATGCGTCATGGTTCACTATGCCTTCAAGTGAGCCTCCCACCCAATGAACGTCCGACTCCACAGCAAGAAAGCTGGTAGTCTTTATATTCTCCTCCCAAGTATTTGTGACTGACCTCAATTCCCCATCAGGGATGACTCTGCCTTCGAGTGAGCCTGCCGCTGAACATCTGGCACCACAGCAAGAAAGCTGGTGGTCTTTGCATTCCCCTCCAAATAGTTGTGACTGATCTGGAGTCCCCATCAGGGTTGATTCCACCTTCAAGTGAGCCTGCCACCGAACATCCAACATCACAGCACAAAAGCTAGTGGTCTTTGTGTTCTCTTCCCAAGTAGCTGTGACTGATCTCGAGTCCACGTCAGGGTTGACTCCACCTTCACGTGACCCTGCCACTGAACACCTGGCATCACAGCAAGAAAGCTGGCGGTCTTGGTGTCTACCAAGTAGTTCTGACTGATCTAGACTCCCCATCAGGGTTGATTCCACCTCCAGTGAGCCTGCCACTGAACATCTGGCACCACAAGGAAACTGGTGGTCTTTGTGTTCTCCTCCCAAGTAGTTGTGACTGATCTCTAGTCCCCGTCAGGGTTGACTCTGCCCTTAAGTGACCCTTCCACTGAACATTCGGCACCACAGCAAGAAAGCTGATGGTCTTTTCGTTCTCCCCATAACTATTTGTGACTGAACTCGAGTCCCTGTCAGAGTTGATTCCACCTTCAAGTGAGCCTGCCACTGAACACCTGGCACCACAGCAAGAAAGCTTGTGGTCTTTGTGTTCTCCTCCCAAGAGTTGTGAGTGATCTTGAGTCCCTGTTAAGGTTGATTCCACCTTCACGTGAGCCTGCCACTGAACATCCGGCACCACCACAAGAATGCTGGTGGACTCTGTGTTCTCCTCCCAAGTACTTGTTACTGATCTTGAGTCCCCGTCAGGGTTGACTCCACCTTCAAGTGAGCCTGCTACTGAACATCTGGCACCACACGAAGAAAACTGGCGTCTTTGCATTCCCCTCCAAGTAGTTGTGACTAATCTTGAGTCCCCATCAGGGTTTATTCTGCCTTCATGTGAGCCTGCCACCGAACATCCAGCACCACAACAAGAAACTGGTGGTCTTTGTGTTCTCTCCCAAGTAGTTGTGACTGATCTCGAGTTCCTATTATGGTCAATTCCGCCTTCATGTAAGCCTGCCACTGAACATCCGACACCATAGCAATATAGCTGACGGTCTTTGTATTCTCCTCCCACGTACTTTTGACTGATCTCGAGTCCCCATCATGGTTGACTCTGCCTACAAGTGAGCCTGCCACTGAACATCTGGCACCACAGCAAGAAAGCTGTGGTCTTTGTGTTCTCGTCCCAAGTACTTTGCACAGATCTTGAGTATGCGTCATGGTTCACTATGCCTTCAAGTGAGCCTCCCACTCAATGAACATCCGACTCCACAGCAAGAAGGCTGGTAGTCTTTATATTCTCCTCCCAAGTGTTTGTGACTGATCTCAAGTCCCCATCAGGGATGACTCTGCCTTCGAGTGAGCCTGCCGCTGAACATCTGGCACCACAGCAAGAAAGCTGGTGGTCTTCACATTCTCCTCCAAGTAGTTGTGACTGATCTGGAGTCCCCATCAGGGTTGATTCCACCTTCAAGTGAGCCTGCCACTGAACATCCGGCATCACAGCAAGAAAGCTGGTGGTCTTTGTGTTCTCCTCCCAAGTAGTTGTGACTGATCTCTAGTCCCCGTCAGGGTTGACTCTGCCTTTAAGTGAGCCGGCCAGTGAACACTTCGTACTACAACAAGAAAGCTGATAGTTTTTGTTTCCTTACTGACTGTGTTTGTAGACAAATGTGAATGTAACTTCATGCTTAATGAAATAAAATTGTGTTGGTTAAAAAAATAAAAGAGATTCTTTCTCCCATTAAATTATCTTGGCACCCTTGTCAAAAATCAATTGACATCTGGATTCTCATTTCTGTGTCCATTGACCTATATGTCTATTCCATGCCAGTACATAGAGTCTTCATTACTGTTGATTTGTAGTAAAATTTGAAATCTAGAAGTGGGAGTACTCTACTTTGCTCTTCTTTTTACAAAATGGGTTTGGTCATTCTGAATCCTTTCTATTTCCATATGAATTTTAGAGTCAGCTTGTTGGTTTTCTGGAAACAAAAGCAACTTGAATTGTGATAGAAATTGAATTGAATCTGTAGATCAACTTCAGGAATACTGCCATCTTGATCATATTAAGGTTTTCAATGAATTTTAAGTATTGCCATCTTGATAGCATTATGTTCTTCCCATTTTAAAGAACATGTGGTGTACTTCCATTTGTTTAGTTTCTCTTAAATTTCTTCCAATACTCTTATTGTTTTCCGAATATATCTTGTGCTTCATTTCTTGGAGTTACTAGTATTATTTTGTTTTTTTGATGCTGTTATAAATGAAATTGTTTTCCTAATGTCATTCCCAAAATGTTCATTTCTAGGTAATAAAACTACAATTGCTTTTTGTATATCTAGTTGTGCATTGGTATCTATGAGGAATTGGTTTTTAGACCCCCACAGATATCAAAAGTTGCACAGACTCAAGTCCTGCAGTTGGCTCTTTGGAACCTATATATACAAAACATCAGCCC